TTTTTTTTTAAATCTCACTCACCCCAAGCTTTTGTATGGTAGTGTACAGATGTGTATCCCTCAATACATGTGTCATAATTACCTTGGGGAGACCTTTGACCAGATCAGCCCGTTGTTTCTCCTCCTTTAGAAGGTTTCCTCCTCTGTTGGTAAATCTGGCTGGATCTTTGGCCTTTTCCTACCACAAAACATAAAGTGTTAGGTGATGCAAAAACATGATGAATATTTTCAGTCAGTTCAACTTACTTCAAGCTCTAAAAAAAGTCTCCAGCTTTCCTCCCATTTGTGAACACCTTCAAAAAGATCTTTATGATCCTCATAATACTGTTTAAGCCACACTATTTCTGCATCATGCAAACTCAGGAGTTCCTCACTGAAATCATCTGAGAGAAGAAAAAACCTTTAAACCTTTATTTCATTACAAAAGACAGTCAACGGTGTAATTCAGAAAAATGACAACTCACCATCATAATAGGGCACAAAAGCTTGCCGTTGGTCAGTGCTATAAAAGCACTTATCCCAGAAGACTGCAATGTCGTTCCGAATGTCCTCAGTAACATTCTGAATATTTTTAAGCTTCAGTTCTTCAAGACGTTTAACCTCAGCTTGTAACTGACAGTAGAGGACATAAAAATGTAATCATCTGTGTTCAATACAATGATTGGACATTTGGAAGCCTTAATTCATGCAACGTTGTATAATTGAGGTAAGGGGAGAAAAACAGGTTTAAAATATTTTTTTTCATAGAAGCAAATTGTCAAAAGGTTACTAACAGCTTCCATATTTATTTTCTTTGACAGGGTCATGTGTTCAGAAATTGCATCACGCTCTTCCTGTGGAATCTGCAACCTTTCCCATAGTTCATGGATCTTCTCCCGATAAGAGTCACAAACACGCTCATTCTCTGCCTTTCTGCTCTCCAACTGAAATGATAAATACTGTATTCCACAATTGCTTAATAATGTTTAATGTATGTCAGATTCAGCTTTTATTGTACCTGGTGAAGGAGGACTTTGAGTGAATTCATATTTTCTTCAGACAAGCAAAAACTCTCTTCATCTTCACATACGACATCCTTTTCAAAACTAGTCTCAGGCAACTGATCCAGATCGTCCATGCAAAGTATTATTTGCTTCTTCAATGTGACAAATTCTTTACGTCTTCGTTCCTTTAAATATATATATAAAACACTGTATATCAAACTGAACACAGTACTTCAATAAATGACTGAGATGTTTATAAGAGTGTAGTATTTAAAACAAAGATGTAGTGTCATACTTTCTCAGCAGTGAGAGAGGAGATGCGTTGACGGAATTTCTCCAGCTGTTCCAGGGATGGAACAGAATCAGCGGAGACAGAAAACGACTGGAAGCAGAGGAGGTCACAGAGATCCTGATCCTGCTCGGTTAAGGTTTTGAGTGCTTGCATCCTCTGATTTTTCTCCTTTAACATCACTTCAAGATGTATCCGGAGGTCTTTTTCCTGCTGTAGCATAGTGCTACTTCTGTCCTCCTAAAATGATTACGAACCAGAACCACAAAAAAAAAAAAA